GGGGTCACGGCATTAAAAAGGTTGAGAACCACTGTGTTAGATAGAGCCAATCTACTTTTGAAAAATGTACAGCTTCCTTGCTTTGTCTCATGAAGATTTTCCTTATTCAGGGAAGTGTCCAGTTCTTCTAGGAAAAAATTAGAATTCTGTCTGGCAAGTTCATGTTGTGTAAGCACTGAAAACCACAGCTAGTTTGTATTGGAAACAATGAAGCAGGAAGAAAGAATTCACTCTGAACCCCAACCAGTTCTAGCTCCTTCTGATGATCATCTACTGAAGAGAAACACAAAACTCAGGAGTTTCTAAACAAGGGGAGAGTTTCATTATGCCAGGCTACTCGGAATTTTATTTCAATGTGGATCATGGTTATCTAGAAGGACTGGTCCGAGGCTTTAAAGCTGGAATCTTGAAAGCTTCCGATTATGTTAACTTAGCCCAGTGCGAAACTCTGGAAGGTAAGTTGGGTTACAATGAAGTTCAGTGCTATGGCTTTGGGATCTATCTATCATCTCGTTTCTGTACTGTCCACCTTCCTCAAAAAGCAATGCTGGGCACTGTACAATAAAATGTTAAAATATGTAACAGTATATATAATAATTTAAAAGGAGGCAAGAGATTAAAATTAATTAAAAGGCAAAGGAGGGCTTTCAGGGGACTAAGTAACCTCATAGCTGCATGCTTCTTTGGGCTTCCCACAGAGGCCAAAGAGCCATGCCCCTTCCTTTTCGGAAGGCCAGGAGCGTGGAGGCTTGCCTCACTTCTGGGGACAGAATATTCCATAGGGTGGGGGCAATGGCAGAGGAGGCCCTCTTCCTGGACCCCGTCAGTTGGAGTTCTTTAACTGATGGGGTCTGCAACATAACTTCCCTGCCTAACTGGGAGGTACAGGCTGATATAATGGGACAAAGATGGTTCTGTAAATAACCTGGCCCCATGCCGTGCAGAATTATATTATTGTCTCTCTTAAAGAGAGGAAAACATCCTTATCTTGGCATTAGATTAAACTTTGATAAAAGAATGCTGGATATGTCACTGGAATTAGCAAAATTAAAATCTGGGGTTATCTTTCAAAGAGATCTTTAGATCTCAGCTAGGATATAGGCAAAAATCACCTTGAGAAAAA